TTCTTTTTTTCTTTTTTTACTGTTTTACCTTTTAAATAATACTGACAATTTTTGTAATTTTCATTTTACATTTTTCAGAGCATAGGAAATATATGAGTCGAATACCTTCGTAAACCGTATTTATTCGAGAATAATACTAAAAGAATTGATCATGTCATCAACTCATCCTCGTGATTTACATGCAGCTGCTGCTGCTGCAACTACAGGTGGTTTGCGTGGTGTTATTGCTGGTAAAAATCTTCTATCATTCCTAAAAAAATAAATAAATTTATATATTTCTTTTTGTTTTTACTAGGTGGTATAACAGGTGCAATTGAAATTTGTATAACATTTCCGACAGAATTTGTTAAAACACAATTACAATTAGATGAAGGATCAAGTAGACGTGGTGAAGTACGGCAATATCATGGTGTTATTGATTGTGTAAAAAAAACAGTACGTTCACGAGGATTTTTTGGTCTTTATCGTGGTCTTAGTGTACTTTTATATGGATCAATACCGAAAAGTGCAGTTAGGTAAAAAAAGAATTAATAAAAATTTCTTAAGAATGAATTCGAATCTCTTTCTTAGATTTGGCGCTTTTGAAGAACTTAAAAAACATTCAGTTGATGAACATGGTCAATTAAATTCAAAAACTCGACTTTTATGTGGTTTAGGTGCCGGTGTAAGTAATCATATTTTTGTAGATATCTTAAATATAAAAGTTTACTTTAAGTTAGCTGAAGCTGTACTTGTTGTTACACCAATGGAAACTGTTAAAGTTAAATTTATTCATGACCAACATTTAGCTAAACCTAATTATCATGGATTTTTTCATGGTGTTCGTGAAATCATACGAACTGAAGGTTTTTCTTTTTGCTTTTGTTCTTAATTTTTATAGATGTTATTCAATTTTGTTATTGAATTAGGTATTGGAGGTACTTATCAAGGTTTAACAGCAACTATGCTTAAACAAGGAACAAATCAAGCTATCCGATTTTTTGTTATGGAAACATTAAAAGAACAATATAGAAAATATACCATGAAAGGACAAAATACATCAATACCTGTAGTTATTACAGGTATATTTGGTTTGATTGCTGGTGCAGCTAGTGTGTTCGGTAATACACCACTTGATGTTGTTAAAACACGTATGCAAAGTCTTGAAGCTGCAAAATATAAAAATACATTTGATTGTGCAATACAAATTATGCGAAATGAAGGACCATTAGCGTAAGCTGATTGTTTAAAATAAATAATAAGTATTTGTTTATATTATCTTATGTAGATTTTATAAGGGCACTATACCAAGACTTGGTCGTGTTTGCGCTGATGTTGCAATTACATTTATGATTTATGACAAATTTATTGAAGCATTTAATCGTGTCTGGCCTAATAAGTAATATTTTTGTTCAGATTTAATGCAGATTTTTTCTCTCTCATTCATATCATTATATTTGTTGTATTCCAGTGTCTTTTTTTATTCCAATATTTACCATTCCGAATGTTTTTTTTTTTGTATTAACCTTTTATTTTCCTATTTTTAATTATCAAAGCTATTTGTCTTAATAATAAAAGTCAGTTTTTTTTGTTTAGTATTGTAAGATAGAAAAAGTAAATTATCTATTTGTAGATTATTGAATAAAATTTAAAGACAATATGGAAAATAAACCAACAGATCTTTATCATACAGGTATATATTTCTGCTTTTATATAAATTCATTAGAAAATAATTTCGTCTATCACGAACATCGTTCAAGGTATACTAATCTTCTTTCATGAAAGTCTTAGACGGCTTATCAATGCATGTTAGAACATGTAAATGACATGAAAAAAAATGATTAGGAATAAAACTTGATCTTTCAGGATTTCGAGTATTCGGAAACATGAATTAAACGACGTCTCGTAACAACTGAGAAAAAATTGTCAATGACATTTTCCATACTTTTCTTGACGTACAAAAGTGAAATTTTTATTACATGTATACCGTCAACTTTTTATGACATGTCTGGAAAGTCGAAACTTTCAAAAATCGAACAACTTGATTTGATATAGATAATAACGGTTTCAATCTTATACATGTAGAGAAAGTATGAAAAATATCATTAATCAGTTCATCGAATCGTATCTTAAATCAATATTTATCAAAATAGAAGGCCAAAATAAAAATTTCACCATAGTAATTGTCATCAGTTCATTAAGTTTGAGTTTTCTTTCCATAGAAACTCTGGAAACTTCTACGTAAATATTAAATCAATATTTTTTTAACAGTTGGATACGATCGTGGAGAACAACATGTTGACAAATCGAAAGTTGATTCACGTGAAGAGACTTCAGCGCCACAAGCTGGCATGTATGGTCAACCTGAAAGTCATATTTCTGGTCAAGGTGGTGCAGAAGTTTTAGGTGGTAAGTTTCATATTGAAAAATACATCGATGTTTTTTACGAAAACTATCTAGCTTTATTCTCAAATTTCTTTTTTCTTTATTACAGGAACTGCAAGTACACGTATCACTGGCCAATCAGTTGATGAACAACTCACAACTCAATTGCCCACACATAGTAACAAATGAATGATTCTTTTTATTAGCATTTTTTATGATAATCAAGCATCACTTTAACCTGTTGTTCGAAATCTAATGTTTCATTGTAAATCAAGCTGAATAGAAGAAAATATTTTTTCTGTATATATTCAATATATTACTCTTACATAGTTTTGTTGATGAAAGTAAATCAAAGCAAGATTATAATAAGATATTAATATATCGAAATGATTAATCGTTAAAAATTTTTGTCAAATATAAAATGTAACTTAACAATTTTCTAACGCTTATTATATAATGTACTAATATTTTATGAATACATTTTAAAGTAATAAAACTGGTTTGTATATCTGTATGAGTGTATGAGAAAGATTTTTTTTGAGTATCTAAAGTTTTTAATTGTTTTACTTTTGTTTATTTGTTTTTGATTATATTCACCAATATTTGTGATCAATATTTAATTGAACTAAAATGTTAATTCTAGGTTTTTCAGTGATATATATGAGGACGAGTGTATACTACCATAACTAGCATGCATATTTCTGAATTATCTACGTTTCATTTACCATTATGTGTCGTCATGTACTTGAACACAAGCTAATGCATAATAGTACACACTGTTGAGTGATGGTACATGGGTGAATGTCACAGCTCTCAAAAGGTTGTTGTAGAAAAGCGAAACATCATAGTATAGTATTTATAAAACTGTGACGCGTGACGATATAAAGGATTTTTCAATAGTTCTTCTTATGTTCTATTCATTTCAAAATATATTCATAATCTAGTCTAGAGTTGTAACTAGTAGTATTTTGCCTTATTAATATTGATAGGGATCCAAATGATTAGGTTCGTTGATAGAACAGTATTACAGTCATTCTCTGCTCATCTATCGTTAAAAAGAAAAACTTTACAGAACTAAAAAAATCTATATCAATTTTTATATGAATATAATAATCATTAAACATCAACATTCATGATTAATTATATTGTGAATCTGCTTCTTACTATATATTCCTGGGTAACCGCTCATTTCGTCCCCTTACAAGTCGTCCCAATTACATTTCTTTCCCTTACATTTCGTCTCAACTGAATTTGATTTTATAATTTTACTAGGACCAATCTATTTAGTTATTTGAGAATAGTTACTGTTTATATACTGAGTGTTGCGTATAGTAAATCATCGTGGTTTGAAAACCCAATGAAGAATGAGTGATGGATGTGAATAAGAAGTTCAAAAAGGTCTATTTTCCTTAGACCCATCCTGGCCTGGCTTCCGTGGTCTGTATATTTTTTATATGCTATCCGTTGCATGATATTTCAATATGAATAATACCACGTCTGGATAACAGGCAATGATAAGTGCTCATTTTTATGTTACACCATACACGGCACTCGAGTGTGATTTTTGAAGTACTTTTGCTGTTCAAAAATCAATATTTGTATTGAGAATCATAAAAATTATGACAGACAGGTGGCTTGTCTATCCTAAGCAGTCTGTCTGGCCTGAGATAAGATCGAAACTTATGGCCGGTGTCTGTTCTAGAAAGGCAGTCAGGCAGATCCAACAGCCTGTTTGTATCTCTGGTGTGAGTGTAGCTGTGAGATGTGCATGGTTGCGAGTGTGGTCCTTTTTTTAAGCCGCGCCCAAGAATTGTATTGCCTTATGATGTGAACGATAGTAAAGAATATTTATCTGGAATTGCTATGAATTTGAAAACAGGCACTTGAATTCATTAAAATAAATTTTATATTATATTTCTATAATGATAATGAATGGTGACAATTTGGAATGAAATGCAAAGGGATCACTTGTAAGGGGATGAAGTGTAGGGGTACCTTATTAGATAAGATCTTCTCAATTCAGTGATGAAAATAGAAAATAGTTATCACTGGAAATAATTGTTCGACAAAATTTTATGACCATATCCTAGTTATTTCAGGTTGAAATAAAATTCCAAATGTAGGGTCTGATAGAGTTAAGTATGCTCTACAACACCCACTTTGTCACAGAATCATGGGAACTACCATCATGTGGATCAATAAGTCTGGTAAATCTCCAGAGTTTTGGAATTCAGCCAAACTTGTACAGTCCAGATCTCTCGAACAATAAGATAGAAGACTTCGAATTTTTTACAGCAAACACAACTCGTCGAGCTTTTTAAGATGAGATAAATATCAGCTAATTCGGACACTCATGTATATTTTATGGTTGAGGCTTTATGAAACAACCCAATATTAATTTTATCATCTACATCGGCGGGCCAGGGTGATTTTTTTTGGTATGGCAAATTATTAATAAGTGTAAGCAACTTATTTAAAAACTAGAACCTGAAATTTTTTTTCATATACTTCGATTATCATGCTAAGAAGTTTCTACTGTAATCATCCTGTTCCTTTTATATTAATTATTTTCACTCTTACAAAAAAAACAAAAAATGGCATTACAAACTTATCATAAAAAGACTTCACCAATACAATTAAAATACTATTTTCCTGCTCTTCTTTACTGATACAAATTCTTTTATTATTTCATCATAGTCGATTTCAGCATCATGTTCAATGTTCAGAAGTGCAAGTCCTGATAAACAATCTTCTCTTGTTGTAGATCGAAGATAATTTTTAATTCGTCTCAATATCGAAAAGCTACTTTCGTATAAACAAGTATTTACAGGTATAGTCCATAAAATATTAAACAATTCATTCATCACGGGTAAACAAACATTCAAATGATTTTCCAGAATAGATGATCTAATTTCAGGCAAAGTTGCTTGAGAAGTAAGTAATTTTGCCTTGTATAAACGTTGTTCACCTCGTAGATCATCATAGCTTAACGAATACTGTTTTGACAGCTGTTTTAATTCATTTTCATTCAATAGTACTTTAGTTAGAAATAATTTTTCCATTAGTAAAATATCATCAATCATATTTTCATCGAATCGATTTTCAATAAATGTAATAATTGTATCTAGAACAATATAATAAGTATTTATTCTATAGTGATGTTTAATGTTCAAGTCATTTAATGTTTTATCTCCACCTTCAAGACGAACAGGAACTTTTTTCTTCTTTAGCTCTTTCGGTGAATCGATTTCATTTTCTTCACACATCTATAATGCAGCTGAATAAAAACTTTCGAACTCTGTTTCATTTCTTAAAGACTTCAATGTCTCGACAGTCATTTTTACTTCCTTTAAAGCTTGACTGATACATATTTGATAACTTTGCAGATATTTCGATAAAATATTCATGATTAGATATATTTCAGACATAATAAACAAATGAAACACAAAGTCAAATGACTCCATCGAATTAAGAAGTAGATGGGATTCCAGTGCTTTCATTGCTTGAAGAGCTGAAACAATTTGTGCATATCTAATCAAAACGACTTTTAGACCATCTTATCTACCATGGGCGGCGGAGCCATTAGGCTTGGGGAGGCTTGGGAGGCTCAAATACTAAGAAATATTTTAAAGATATAATCGCAAGTTTATGTCTTATTAGCGAGAACTCTTTGAACAAAGGTTGTCTCGTGTTTTTTGAATGGTACACCCAGTGAAATGTTAGATAGTCCATGTGTATCACTATATTTGTAGTGCCTCTATGACTTTCGGATCACAAACATTTATCTCTGTTTCAGTTGTACAAAAAATTTTGAAATAATAGATGAACATGAATCTTTTGGCAGACAAAATCTTTACTAAATAGCGTCGAGGCATGTCTTTCTTAAAAGAACAAGAAAAAAAATGAGTATAATCACTAATATTCACGTAGTTAGTGTGAATATGTTATCAACTAATTTAACTGATCGCATTAAAACTCTCTGTTTATAACACATAACGAACATACAGAATGTGCCAAAGGTTACTATTGAAAATACATGTAACTTCTATAGCAATGAAGCTTAACACAAAACTTATTTTATTTGAAAGAAGAGACTAACATGTCTGTATTATTAAAGACCCGTTTCAACAACAATGTAGCAAAAGTGGAATTTGCGAATACAAAAAAGAATAAAATGAGGTTTTTCTCTATGTGGAAAACGATATGAAGCGTTTTTTCGATATCTATTAGAATTTCAATCGTTATTAGGAACTCAAAATCATTCAAATCTATCCTCATGACTTTACAAATACTCGTCCTGATATATTCTCGAGAAAAAGGAGCAAGAAAGCCAATATTAATAATAACATGTGTTGTTAAATAGACCAACGCACACTTTTCACGGCCTTAATGATTTTCGAAGAGGCACGAACGACCTACCGAGGGAAAATGCATCAGTTATTGGTTCTTTTCAAAATGTGTCAGAAAATGACTGTCAAGCAATACTGAAAGATCTAAATGATCTGAAGTGCACAATGACGAACAAAGTTCTAGTAGATATAGAAAGTAACACTGTATTGTTTTTGACATAGAAAAAGCCTAATGTTTTTCTTTTTGTAGCTACAAATCCTGCTTTTGCTACGTTGTTGATTGACTTGATCTTTAAGAACAAAATGTTTCTAGGCTCCCATTTGAAATAAAAAATATTAGATTCAGCTTGAATAATAGTGTATTGAAATGCATTTAATAAGTCACAACGACTTTTGGCACATTTTATTCGCTGATCACTTTTAGTCATATCGATATCCTTCATATGAAGAAAAATTAGTTTACGTGGAATAGAAGAATAGCTGCAATGGTTCATTCAAAAAAAAACAGCATGAAATCATTTTCGGTCGTGTGAAGTGCTTTTAGCTCTGCCTTGCTATATTCACATTAGATTAGGTGTAAGATTTTTATATACATGCTAATTATCCAATAGAAAAGTTAAGGTTGCCGTAGAATTTTTCACTATTGTTCAAATTTTGACATGAATAAATCCAAAAATGCGTTTAAAATATAGTGAACATTATAAAAAGTAGAAAATAGTTCCTTTTTTGTTCCATCTCTCATCATTGCCTAGGAAAAAATTTTGAGCCTCCCCTAAGTTAAAATTGTTCCGCCGCCCATGCATCCACATCCACACCCGCACCCACGCTCTCTTCTATTTATCACTCCTAATAAACCGCCAGAGAAATCATCACAACTAAATAAAAAAAAATCCTATAAATTATACATTAACTTTATCTTTGTAACCATAAGATATAAAATGCTCAAATACAAGTACAGACAGTTCTATGGAATTTCGACAAAAAGAATTTCGCCATCTGAATTTCGACAATGTCCAACTTGTAGTAGAATTTTGAAACATGTCGAAATTCTACTACAATTTGGACAACGTTGTCGAATTTCTACAATTGTCGAAATTCGTATGAAATTACGACAGAATTTTTTTTGCTGGGCATTTTATTGTCCATTTTCCATCAGAATTGGGACAACATATATGACTCATGTTTTCTTTTATTGTGTACTTTCCACCGGCAATACAACAATAGGGTGTGGGTATGGGCATGGGTGTGGCGTGGGTGTGGATGTGGGTGTGGATGTGGGTGTGGATGTGGGTGTAGTTGTGCGGTGTGGGTGTGGATGTG